CATATCAGCTGGGATCAAATTGTCAAGATACGGGGAGCGGGTGTAGACTACTTAGTAATTGCCATGCAAAGTTATGATGAGGTCCCTTCGGACAGGTAGACATCCCTGTCAAAGGATGAGGGAACATCAAGAGGGGAAAGGGAGCAGACACACCTGGGAGAAAACAAGCACATGACTGGTGGTAGAGAAAGGAGGAAGACCAACCTCCAAGTGGGGAGAAAAATGAATAAAATTACTTCTACGTACCCTAAGTGCGGAGTATCCCTGGTAATATGCACCGAATAAGTCACATTGGTGCAATTTTCTGGGCACACCCTGGGGACCCAGGTCAAAAACCATAGGGGCATTGAATCCTGGATCTTCAAGGAGCACTAGACTCTCCAAAGGCTGCAGCAGAGAGATCTGCTACAGAAACTCCACTAGGTAAACTGGACTCTGCTTCAAACACACTTGTAAGCTGAGAAGCTAAGACTGAAAATTCATAGTGTTTGAAGAAGCAGAAGACAGGTATACCCGTATTATTGAACTATTGATAGGCAGATATTCATTGACTTACTACATCAATGCCCTATGTGCTATATTAAAATATATATTATTCCAGTAAACCTGTGACTGACATTCTCAGTGAATATTACTATAAAATTTCCCTGAAAACCAACTCCCATTGTTTGTGTGAACAGTACCCTGACACTAAAGGATCTATTCTGTACAAGTGAACAATTCAAGTGTTACACTATGGAGTTAGCCTGAATTGACTTAATACACCTCTCTCGACAGTGTTTTAAAAAATTAGTATGAGGGGCTAATCAATGACAATATAACAGAAGATATTTATACTCCAAGATGATGATCAATAAGAGTCTATACCATAAATCAACAAGGAGGTCTCTGAAGGGAACCAAAGGAAGATTAAAAAAAAAACACATAGATCCAGAAATGAGTTTGGGGCTTACATTAAATCCAACTTAAGAAAAATCCATGCTTACATCATGGCCCTGCTCAATACTCGCCCTCAGGAAGGGAGCCCAGAATATAAGTGTGTTATAGAAAAGTATAGTGAAGAAATGAGATGGTGCCCCGCTACCAGATAATATAATATCTGGGTCTTAAAAGGTTTGTTTCCAAACGAGCAGCCATCTAAGTGAGATGTAAGCTAAATCCACATAGAAGAAGCACACCAACATCAATGACTGTAAATCATATAATCCAAAGCCAAAGGAGGGAATAGTATCAGAGTCTAAATTGTGAGAATCAGGTTTTCAGAAGGCTATGGATGGCAGTGGAAGCCCAAGATACATCTGTGGGATCTACGTAGGAAATCAGCCTCCAGTGATCTCCCTCTATGCATAATGGAGGGACGGGAAGAAACTGGGTACCAAACAGAGTGCATTGCAGAGATGACTATAGGAGCTCAAAATGATCAACTTGACTTGAATGGTTAAAACGTTGTCAGTTGATCCCTCCTCTAATGCACAGTGGGCTTGATCTGGTTTTCAACATTTTCCAAATTTTGTGTGTTGTGTGTTATTCTCATATTGGGGTTTATCTCAGCTGTATTTTCTCATTGGGGTGACCCTCTTGGATTTTTGTTATATGTCTTTCTCTTTTTCAGTATAGGAAACCCAAGATTGATGAACCGATAGAGACAGCAAGTAGAATAATGGTCCCTGGGGAGTACAATGGGGGAGGGGGAGGGAAAAAAGGGAGGTGTTACCAAGGAGTTCAAGAAGGAAAAGAATATTTTGAAACTGATTTTGGTACTGCTTGATGTGGTTGAAATATGGAATGATATGATATCTGTATTATCTCCCAATAAAATGGGTTTTTTGGGGGGGATGGGAATAAAAGTAAGCAAGAAATCAAGCTTTCATAATATTTGAGGAAGAAATTGTTATACTCATTTGTAATACAGGGGGGACACGGGTAGTCTCCCTGGGTCAGGAGGTAGTCTCTGGACGAGGGTGGGGTGAGGCAAGGAGCCCAGCGGGGAGGCACAGGTGTTCAGCAAAAACTCAGTAAGGGTGACAGTGGTGTGCTGACTCCCTTTTCTTGTGCCTGGCAGGGGTTTTTACAAAAGTTAACAAGCTAACCCCTACAAAACGGCCCTGTGGCTTTACAGGGGCTTCCTCCTGAGAAGGATGGGTGGAGGAGAACTCTAATAGAAAGAAAGGGCAGAGCGGGCTGGGGTGTTTTTCCCCCCTTCATTCAAACTGTTCATAAGCCGCACTGCAACATGAAAACCATAAATATCTCATCAGGGCTAAAGAAGTCAGCCCCCCAAACAAATAGTCAAACGACGCGTGAGCTAAGCTTTAAACCTGACACCAAAAAGATTCCCCCGAAGTGTTCTCAAAAAGCAAATGATCTTTTTGGTTACTTGCTAAAGAATGTCTGCCTTGAGCCCCATGCTCTGCTAAGATCCATCTAGGGGGGGATCAAACTGACAACGGCCAAAAGATGAGAAAGGACACTTGAGGCCCAGGGAGCTTATGTCGCTGGTGGAGGAACAAGTGGGAGAAGGCGGGAGAGAATGGCTGCACATGACATAATGCAATCCACGTCCCTGCAGAAACATGTGGCCAGGGTGGAAGGGGTGCATGCTGTTCTGCATCTTCTTAACAACCACAAAAATAAAAGGTGTTTTCAAAACATTAAAAATGTCCAGCATTCCCAGGGAACCAATAGAGAGGTCTGAGGGGCCTGCCCCAATCCCAACTACGCAGAGAGCACCCCTCACCACAGAAAAATGTACTTCATAGGACAGCACTGAGGCTATAGCTCAGGGAGAGGGACATGTCTGGTCAGAGCACACAGGAGCAAATGAACAGGGAGGAAGAGAGAGCGGAGCACATCCTGACCCACCAAGCCTTGAGGACAAAATCCCTGCTCAGAGCAGCCAATGCACAGAGAGGACCATATGGCCGGCCCCACTATGAGACATGACATGCCTCACTGATCCATAGCCCTAAAGGAGACAACACTGGAGTTACAGTGTGGGAATTGCGGCCAATCTGACCCCACCACACCTAGGCAAAACACTAAAGGCATGCAACAGAACAGCAAGGGGCACAGAGCAATGAAGTCCCCATGGAATACCAAAAGTAGACTCTGGGGTCAGGGCATGGCACCCCATTAGACTCAACTGGAAAATATTCCCAAAG